CTACTCCTCCGTTTGCCTCTAAGTGGGGGCTGCTGCATCTCTTCTCTTTGACTCCCATTCCCTTTTGCCCTCCTAGTGGATAGGCCACCCTGCTCTAGTGAGTACAGTCTGATCCAGGCTGCAGAGTGTTGCCCTCTACTATGTGCCACTCTGCCTTGGAGCCATCTGAGTATCAACTGAAAACTCCAGTAACAGTGACCTCAACAAACCTTTCCTTCCATCATTTTGAGTGTGACATATTTGTCCCAGCAATGAGAGAATAATCAAGACACCTTCCCTTGATGTACATGGAGTCTTCCAGGCAGACTAGTTCACTCGTTAGCTGTTGCCACCTCTGTCTCAAGAGGACAGTCCCATAGATCTGAGCCTATCTCTGTACCCCACTGGGTCTAGCAGTACGCCTAAGCTCATTAGCTGGGGATTTATAGAACTCAAGCTCGACCATGTGGGCCTGGCTTGGGTAGGGCTGCTGCGCTCAGCTTCCTCCTGCTGCAGCCCATGGACGTGAGCCCACTAAGCTCTGCTACCCAGTTGTTCTTCTGGTTTAGCTCACTGGGTCTTTCACCTAGCCACTCTGTGGGTAGTTCCACCACAAGTTCTGAAACCCAGCCTCTCTGATGAAGCTCAGCTCTGCCAAGTCCCAAACCAGCCAGGCCTCTCTGCTGATGATTTATGTGTTCTTTAGCTCACATATTACTCTAGGCTTGGGTTATACACCTTGTGGTTATACTTTTTGTTGAAAGTTTACAGCCAAGTTAACGTCAGACCTGTATTAAACAATTTTTTTTTTTTTTTTTTTTTTTTTGCTAGCTATCAAGGTCAGTTAAGCCTCTTCAGGAATTACCATAGAAGTACACACAGCACCTCTTAGAATTTCTGTCCATGGCACTTTTCTGGATGAATCATAGCCATTGCTTGACCAAGTTGGTTCTGTGAATTCTTGGTAAATATATATTTTTCTCCTGGTGACTCCCGTAGGCATATTATAAATTTTAAGTTATTTTCTTCCATGGTCCCATAATTTCCATGGTCAGAAGAGCAGGGATTCAACTGAGTTATGGGATGCTGCAGCAGAAGTTCTCTTGGGTTCTGGTTCCTCATTGACCCAAATTCTGTGGCCAAAATATTGCTCCTAGCCTGTTTTTCTTTGCAGATTTCGGTCTCCAAACTTCAATGGTTAAACATCCAGAAGAGAAGATCAGTGACAACAGCAGTTACATGTTTGTGATGAAGTCAGTCAGCTACATATTACTATCTTATCTAAGTATAAATCATCTTAGAATATCAAATAGAACCATTACTTTTAACAACAATGAATGTTATAATATTTAAATCATAGTAGAATGTTAACAGTTACATGTTTTGTACAGAAAATTAGAAATTAAAAAATATATTTAATATTACAGGATGACAATTTGATAATATTTGTTAACGTACTTGGTACAGGGTCTCACTGCTCAGCTCAGGCTTATAGTGGTCCTCCTTTTTGCAGCCTTCCCAATGCTGAGATTACAGTTGTGTGCCACCTGGTGGCAAGTTCAGCACACCCAGGGGCAGGGCCTGTGCAGCATGTGGTACTGGGGGTTGAACCTAAGTCCACGTGCTTGCCTAAGCAGGAGTTTAGCTGGTTGAGCTATCTCACCTGCCCTCAATAATATTTTCAACATGGTAAAATTTCCATTGTGAAACATTATAATCATTTTAAATAATAATCTCTATCTAGTGAGAAATTTTTCCAAAACTGTTGCCCTTTAATGGGATACACATCATAAAAATTTTTGTTGAAGGCAGATATCTGAATCTAAAAAAAGTCTATCACTGTATCCATTTCTTTTTCTGCACTTTAAAGACCCACAGATTTACAGGACTGAATACATTAAGTACATTACAAAAACAATAACAGTGTCATCATAGCCATATGAAAACTTTTGTACCAGTTTCTTTAAATCAAAACTCTTGTCTAGAAAATTTAATCCTTTGATAAATGAGCAACATAAACATATTACAATAATAATTTTACTAGCATTTGTGTGACTCCTGTAAGGCTATGAAGATCACTGGGACTTCCTACTAATAAACAAGAACTAGATAATGTTTCCAGAGAGCTGTGCAATTATTTATCAATTGCAGTCAGGTCCAGTTTCTTCTCCCTAACTTAAGGAATTATTCTTTCTCTTCACAGTTTTTAATGACCTGTGAGAAAAGCCACTCTGATATAATTTTGACCAACTGGCAATCCAAGTAGGAGCATGCTTCTTACATTTATGTAGCAAATTAAATTATGAACAAGTGATTCAAAATGAAAAAGAAAATAGGAAAAGAAAAAATTGTTCAGTTCGCATAAAAAAGCTGTTCGCAGAATGAACAAGCACTGAAATAAATAAATACACAGCTTACCAGATTGAAAAAAAGAAAAATAACTTACAAAACTAAAGTGAATTCAAATATGACTTTAAGAAATTAAATTATAACAACTCTCCTACAATTTTAGATGATTATACTTATAAAGACACTTGTCAAAATAATTTGTATGCCAATTAGAAGAGACCTCTTATAAGAAAACTTTGGAAGAGAGAAAAATAAAGAAATAAATGGAAAGGTCAAGTGAGATAGCTCAGCAGACTAAGTGCCTCCCTTTTTGCTCATGCTCTTTTCCACCACAATGAGCTGCTGCCCTCTGCCATGTGACACTCTGCCTTGGAGCCTGCAGATTACAAACTGAAGCCTCCACAAATGGTCTGCTAAATAAACCATTCCTTCCTTAATTTGGGATGCCAGATATTTTTTGCAGCAACAAGAGAAGAGCAACTGGGACACTCATAAGTTGAAGGAATTTTCCTCTAAGCCCTGTGGCAGTTATTTTAATTTGCTCATGCATTTGCAATTGAAAAGCAATTTGACTATTTTTTGGCAGCAAAGGAACCTTCTCTGGTTAATATTGCTTTTGTAACGATTATATTGTGAGGGCTATTGCCAGAATTTCCGTGCACAATTCAGAAATATTCCTTCCCACTATAAACAACACCCTGATCGTCACCACACTTTAGTTATTCCTTGTTTGGGGCCACAATCTATTGTCCTATAAGTTCTATTAAACCTTGGGTAAAAGGGACCATTGAGGCACAGGTGGCAGCTGCTTGGTTTTATTCTTGTATTTACAGGGTGCAGAGTTATGAAGATGTATAACTTGTCTCAGGTTATCAGGAATTTGCAATTTAATAACATGGTAGACACATTACACACCTTCCATGGTTGCTGCCATCCATCTGGTTTCTTTTAGTGCCAATTTCAAGGGACGGAGAGCAAAACGCTCTACTCCTTCAGAATTTGAAGTTAGAACCTATGATCCAGCATTATTTCTCTGAGGTGAAAAGGCAGGAATTTCTGCTTGTGGCTCAGTTAACGTTATCAAGGAGGCTGCTATTCCACCATCTTTTTCCCATTTTGAACTTGATCTTAAAATAATGTTCCAAGGCAAATCCTTTGTAGTAACCCAAAAAATTTGCATCCGTGAAAGTGCTCCCTAGTGTTAATCCACAAAAGTAAATATCACAATTAATAATAAAACACAGTTCCAGACACATTTGAAGGTCTTGAGACTCTGTTTACCCCATGTTTTAAAATCTGATAAAATCAAATCTCTCTCTCTCTCTCTCTCTCTCTCTCTCTCTCTCTTGCTCACTTGCTCTCTCTCATTTTTCATGCACCCGTTTTTCTCTTTGGCACTAATGAGCCCACTTTCTCTTTGGCCACAATGAGACTGTTTTCTTTCCTCCCAAGTTTTACACCTGATAATATCACTGTCAGTACACCTCTGCTGACTTGGCCCGCGAGACAAGACATGGGGTAATGACCTGGAGGAGGAATGGGGATGAACAAGACAGGGCAAGAGACACAAGAGACGGAGACAAGACAGGCTTTCTGATCAAGTCTCATTTATTGAGGAAGTGAGCGGGGTCTAAATAGCTGTATAGTGGAAGCAGTTGGGTGGGACTAGTTGTGGATTGGTAGTGGAGGTCCAGGACCACAGGAAGATGCCAAGGCAAGCAGGGATTGGTGCTGCCGCACTTCTTGCCCAAATAAGGGAAAATATAACAGGAGCGTTCTGTCGCCCCCCCCCACACACACACACTCTGTGATTAACATTGAAGCTATCAATGCACTTCTCCCTCTCTGCACACACAATGAGAAGAGTCCCCTTACCCACTATCTCTTCTTACCCTAGTCCTTGGTTCAGGTGCCATGTGCTGTAGCCAGCACAGGTGTTGAAGTTTCTGGTAGGCTGGACAGTAAGAAGATAGAGAAATACAGACAAGAAGAAGCAAGGGGAGGTCAGGTGGAGCCCTCTCAGGTGGAGGAACACAAGTTGCTTAACCACTGTAGCGCATTTATTTATACTCGCAGGAGGAGGATATCAAGTTAAATCCCTCTGCCTAGGAATTTTGTATGGCTCAACTCACATCTTGAGTTCTCCAGGATGAAACAGCTTGTTTTTGTGGCTAACACTGCACGTGTCACCAATCTCCAGCTTAAGTAGCTAGTAGTAGTGGGCTTCCTGGAGATTCCCAGGTTCATCCTTGCCATCTTCCCCAGAGATGCTGCAGCTGTCATGCAAGCAACTCAAAATGTCCCACTTCCTCATTGAATTGCTACTCCGCTGGATCACAGTCCTGTACCCCCATCAACAGTAGGCTGGAATTGAACTGAACACAAGTCTGCACCTGGACTCCTCATGGGGAAAATTGTGAAGGCTTTACTTTGGCATCTGTTCTTCACCCTGCATTTAACATGTTGGTGTTCTGTCCCATGACTTTGGTCAAGTGGCACAAGGGTGTGTAGTGGCGAAGAGATTGGAGTGTGTACATGGTGTGCCTATGCTGACAGATGGTGCAGAAACATGCTGATCTTCCTGCAGCTGGCATGTGGCTTTTCAAATGAGCAAATTTCATGGGGATTTGGAGAAGCACAGGGAGCTGCTTGCATGCGTGGGAATGCATGCCTCATGGAGACGAGAACCTGCCACAAAACATCAGGCTGCTGGACCTGCTGTGCTTGATGAAGAACAGGAAGGGGTGGTCAGCACAGAACAGGGGCACAGAAAATCTACAACGACTACCAAACACAATGTAGCCTGCCACTGCGGCTGCAGCCTCTGTGCCTTCTTCACTGACCTCCACTACACTCTTGTGCACAAACTTGGACAGATACAGCTCACTGTCAGCCGACATCCCAGACAGGTCTGCCTTGTCCTGATCAAAGACATCCAGCACGCCCAGACTCTGCAATACAGAGTCCATAGCATAATTCTCTTGCAGTTTAAATCTCGGGAAGGAAACTCTCACTTCAGTTCTTTTCATGTGCTCTGGACTGGTCCAGGTTTGGAATTTCTCAAAAGTCAGGGCTTTTTCCACCTGAAAGACCAGGATTAGACATTACCAGCAGATCACAGCACCCATACACTACTGCCCCTTCCAAGGGCAGCCCACCCTCTTCTGACAGGCAGGTTGTACCCATCACAAAGTGTCCCTGCAGCTGCCTGGAAGTTTGTAAGATCTCTTACTTGGCCTGAACCCAGCAGCTGCAATGCCACATTAGGAAGGGCTTCCTGAGGTAGGAGATGAGGCTGCACATCCTTGCCACCCCAGTGTCTACAGAAGGTGACTATGCTTTGAGGGGAAGTGGGCTTTCTAAGTCTTTTGCTTTTCTGAATAAGACATAGTAGGAGGGCAGACATAAACTTGCTGATAAGTAAGTAACATGTGGCTATAAGCCACCAAGGCAGGGGCTGAGGCAGTACAGAATCGGGTCTCTCAATAGGAAAAGAACAGCATGAGGGCTTCTATAGACTCCCAGACTAATTCTCACTAGAAAGAGTTAAGGTTTCATTGAGGAAGTCCCTTGGAAAGAATTAGAAGGACAAGAAATGAGAAAAAAAAAAAAAAAAGCAAAACTGGACATAAAAGACACAGCACAATGGTGATGGGACTTATGCCAGAGAGAAAGCAGACAAGAAATGCACAGAGAGAACAGACTCCCAGAGCCAAGAGAGTGCCCTCCAGGCCCAACACAGTGCACGGGGCAGGCGCTGAGACCGCTCTAGGGAGAGCTCCTGCTCAGGGCGTGCAGGATGTTCCCACACCCAAGCACTTGCACGGGGGTTTTCCTCACTGGAGCGTCTCTGTGTTAATGAGGCAGATACACACGCCTACTAACTCTAAGCTGACCTTCTAGAAAGCCCCTCCCAACCAACCAACTGCCTCTTCCCCAAAATAAGGCCCTAAAAGGACAAATGAACACAAAGTCAGACCAACCCACTAAAATGAATGTCCAGATAGGCAGAAGTGCCTCATTTAATCAAAGGACAGCCCATGGAGCCAATCAAATTGTGACAAGTTCCAGAGGTATGAGGGTCCTCTGAAATATCAAAGAAGCCAGGGACAAACACTAGGGGGCATCAGTCTTCCCAGGCCCCCTGTCTGTCTGGTGCAGCTTCTCATTCTGTGCTTTTTCCTTCTAACAAATGTAGTCTCCTCTGTTCAGCTCTGTCCCTCTAGTTCACTATGGGTCTAACTTTAGCACCTCAGGGAGCTGCTCATTCCACATGACTGCATTGCTGTCTGTGATGAGGTGGAATTCTGGGTAGCTTCAGAAGAATGTGCTAGGTCAGGAGGACAGAGGGGCAGCCAAGGACAGGACTGCTTGGCAGCCCAGTTCTGGTGGGAAAGTACACAGGAATATACCAGATGTCCTGGGACGGACAGTGTGCACATGCATGTGCTCATGCACAAACACACACACACACACACACACACACACACACACACACACGCTGGTCTCACCGTGCTCAAGTCCACGCCCTCATCTGGGAGCACCACGACCATGCTCAGCTCCTGGCCCTGGTAGGGCAGCTCCAGGACCTGGACCCCCTCCTCACTCACGCGAGACCAGGGTAATGTGTCTCTCCGGAACATCATCTGCACCAGCCTCTGCTCCTTCTGGGGGGTGAGCAGAGGGGCACCCATGTCACAGGGATTCTCCAGGGAGCAAGAAAACTGCCCGGAGGAGCTTCCTGAGCACGTGAAGCCCCAGGATGGAAGCGGCAGCTGTTGTCCAGGTGACCTAGGGAAACGGAAGCCAGTGCTTCCCATAGGCATGAAAAGCCACAGAGGCAGGAGCAGCCTGGGGAGCTGTTCTCGCCGGCACCATCCAATACGATACCTGGAATGCTCCCCATGGTGCTGCTTGGCCCCAGAGAACCGAGTCTCGTAGGGAAAAATCAGTGAATCATGACATAAAGTGTAACTTATTTTAAAATAGAGGTGTAGTTCAACATGTATAGAGAACTAAATGTTTCCTTGCTAATTAGTATTCGACTTTCAAGGGATTATAGGACTGGGCAAATTATTTTAACTCTGCATTAATCGAAGTTAAAGAAGTCAATCTCTAAGTCTTTGTCACTTGGCTTTAATATTAAAAATTTGCAAGTTGTATTACACAATTTGCTAATTTCTAATATTAAAGGCAATTTGTAAATTTCTGATATTAAAGCCAAGTGCAAAAGATTAATAATTTTTAAGTTAATGAACAATTCAAATAAACACTTACTTTTCCTTAAAAATTCCTTGACTAAGGGCCAGCCAGATAGTTCAGCAGACTAAAGCACCTGCCTAGGCAGAGCGCAGTGGCTGGGGTTTGACCACTCGTGGCCTGCCATGCCAGCCCCGCCCCAGGACATGTGGCTATTGAACTGAGCACGCCGATCCACTCCTGTAACCCCAGCATTTAGGAGGCTGAAAACAGGAGGGTCACTACAACTCCAGTCTATGTAGTGAGACCCTATAAACACTGTGGTAAATACATTTTAAAAAAAAGAAATTCCCTGATTAAAGATCTGTGTTTTACCATTTTCTTGACTCCACCCAGTGACCCATCACCATATCATAACATTTCTTTTTATAGTTTCTCCGTGGGTAAAATGGACTTAAAGGAAAATCCTCAGTTTCCAGGCTGAGTTTGTAGTAATATGTGCTGCAGAAATTACAAGAGAATAATTTATGCCAATTAATCAGCAGAACATATTCTTTAGTCCTAGAATGTTGTTCTCCTAAGCTTAAATATAAGTTTGGAAATATATTTTCTCAAATAATTTTAATTACTTTATGCCCTTACAAAGTTTTTTTTGTTTTTGTTTTTGTTTTTTTTTTTTGAGAACCAGGGATTGAACTCAGGCCCTTGCGCTTGCCAGAGAAGCGCTTAGGCCACTGAGCCATCTCCCCAGCCCCAAAATTAAATTATTTTGAGGGGCCAGGGAGATGGCTCAGTGGCCTAAGCGCTTCCCTGGCAAGCGCAAGGGCCTGAGTTCAATCCTTCCTTCTGTGCAAAAAAAAAAAAAAAAAAAAAAGCTAAATTACTTTTACTCCCCTATCCTATGAAATTATTTTGTTTAAAACTTCCCCTACCTGGTTTATTTTGAAAGGCATTTCCCTTGTGATCGACTTTACAAATGGTTTTTCCCACCATCCTTTGAAGTAGACAGCATTGATGAGAACCAGCCTGCACGCCTTATCAATTGAATTCCGGGCTAACAGCTTTTCAATTTTGCCTGTTGAGGAAAGCAGAGGTTGCATTCAGTCACTGTTTATAAATACTGCTTATGAACAAACTATAGGATAATGTCCTGGAACGTTTAACCATGATGTTTTCAGGCCAGTTGAGTTAGGATTGTTATGAACTACCGAGTCAGAAACAACTCCTTGGCGAGATGCTTGCGCCCGTGGATGCTTGGGAAGCATCCCCCAAACAAAGGCAGTGGCAGGCTTCTGAGTCACTCAAGGAAAGCAGGTTAACAGGAAGCACAGGTTGGAGAGCCAGCGAGCTGGAAACGAGAGCTCCTCTGGGTGGGCACTGCATTCCCTCAGTGGTTAACTGCAGTGTGGGGGCTGTGGCTGCATGTTCACAGCCATAGCTAACAAGGGACAGAGACGACTCAGTATAAGGGACAGCAGAACAGAGGGCAAAGGGAGGGGGTGGAAGAGTGACTGCTGTTGGATCCTGCAGACAGCACCAGGCCTCCCTGGGGAAGGGGATGTGGGCCCTGCACATTTCCTCCTCTTCCCCCAGATATCAAGGACTCCTTTTTGTGAAGAGAATTCGTGCTTACTGCTGCTTCTAGAGGGCATAAGTGGCATAAAGAGTTCATTTTAAAAATCAGGAAAATAGTTGCTGAGTCATGAAACAAAAACTGCCTGCCATTTGCCGCTGTCTCATTTGTTAGCAGAAGCAGCAATGCTCCTAGCGGGACTCAGGTGAGCGAGCGCTTCCCACCTCCAGCCACCATCGATCTTGGAGGCCATGCATGGAACACATCCTTGTTTCACCTGGCAGTGAATGAGGATCAGGCCCAAGGCATACTGCCTTTAGAGTATGTCCCTTAGGACTAAGGATCTTCTCCTGCAGTAGACAAATCAACCCTAGCTTTGTGAGGTCTAGTCAAGAGAGGTGAGGTAGGTGTGATGAAAGAGAAGGCAGAAGAAGTTCCCATAATACGGCATTGGTCAGATAGTGGTGAGCAGAGCTGCCTTCCGTAATACAGACAGGTGCTGGGCTAGGAGCTGCACGTACTCTAGGATGAGGTGGCCCAAATGCGTGGTGCTGATGGCTTAGATCTAAATGTCCCCACAAAGCCTTGTGAGCTCAGAAGGTGACTGGACCTTGGGTCTCTCTGCCTGACCAACTGGGTTGGGTTTGGTTTGGTTTCTGGTACCAGGAGCTCTGGGCTTGCCATGCAGGCATTTATGCCGCTGAGCTATCTCCACAGCTCCTATCTGCATGACCAATTGTTAAGAGGTAAGGCCATGTGGGGGGGTGTCACTAGGACAGGAACTATACTGTGATGCAATCCATTGCTGTCCTGGGCTCCTCCCTTCTCTCTGTGTTTTGGCCACCATGAGGAGAGCCGCTGTCCTCCATGATCGGCTATCCCATGAGCCCACAGCTACACTGCACTCAGTCATCCATGAAGCATAACTGAGCCAAAAGAAGCCTCTCCTTCCTCAAGCTGTTGGTCATGGGCCTAGTGTACCAGGGAAGAGACAGTGACAAAACGGTGATCAGGGAAAGTCTTTCATCCACCTCCTCCTCACAGATAGGAAGTGGCTGGCCCCTCATGTGTCAACATTTGAAACCAATGAACATGTATCCTGCTGTAAATGTTAAACTGAGTTCAGCCCTCTGAGTTCACCTGACTTTCGGAGTTGACACTCTGGTTCTAGAACAGGTGCAAGGAAATCTCTGATTATTGGAAATCTCAGGTTATTGGAACCCTGAGCATCTGATCTCAACGGCATTAAAGCCACTAATGTGGAGTCCTGGAAGTCACTTCATTCTGTCCATGGAAGAGACACATATAGACAAGGGGCAGTGTGTGATGGAATAGGGAAGAAGGTGGGAGTGGAAGAAGAAGATGGGAGCAGAGAAGAAGAGACAGGGAGGAGTGAGTGGGAGGAGAGGCGGGGTGAAGACAAGCAAAAGGAACCACCGCTGTTCACCTCCAGTCTTTTTGGACACCCAGGCATTGATGTGTTTCCTGGACTTCTTTGGATCTTTCACAAAGGACAGCTGCTCCAGCTCAGCTTGGTAGAACTTCAGACAGGATTCCTGAAATGACTGTGGACAGAGACACACTAGGTGAGGCCACAGAGCTGCACAAAAGTCACCGAGTCCCCAAGCATTCTGAGTCAATGATACTTTGAAAAATTCGAGAGGTGTACGTGTCTCTTAGGAGATGTCACCCTGAGTCTAAGGAATGTCAAGTACCAGCTTCTAGGTAAGGAAGTGCTGAGCTTGGAAGAACTCAACAGGAATGGAAGAACTGTACAGATCTCACATGGGAAATCGTGGAAGGCTTCCTTAGAGAGCTCTGTCATTAGAAAATCAAGGTTGCTGTCAGTTCTTCACGTTCTCTGGGTCCTCCCCTAGGACCTGCGCCACAGGGTATTTCAAGGCAACCTTCTCTGTTCTGGAGATGTGACTCACTGAGAGGAATTTGTAGCTTTCTTCTCCGAAGAGCCGGTTTGCTATGCAGAGGGAATGCAGAGCACCGGGCCTGTGCACCTGGGTGAGAAGTGACTGGAAGCCACTGTGAATGTCATCCTCAGCATTTAATGCCAGCAGCACCTGTGGGGGGAGCCAAAGCCACTGTCAGTACTGTCCTCTGGTCTCATGAAGAGTTTACATAAAATGTTTTTTCTCAAGTACTCCAAAGAATGATCTGTTACAAGGAATGATTTATCCTTCCTTCCTTCTTTCCTTCCTTCCTTCTTTCCTTCCTTCCTTCCTTCCTTCCTTCCTTCCCTCCTTCCCTCCTTCCTTTCTTTCTTTCCTTCTTTTTATTGTGCCACCATCTACTTGTACAGACAAGACTCAATTTCATGGTGATCCTGGTGCCTCAGCCTCCTCAGGGCTGGGATTGCTGACATGCACCACCACACCCAGAAAGGCCCCTTTACTTTATCCCAGCAGTGCATCCTACAGAAGAGCCACTAGTGGGCTGGTGGAGACAGAGAGAGAGGCAGGAGTCGGGGAGTCTAAAGTGTGGCTCTTCCACCTGTACTGAATGCAGAGGGAGGAAGAGAAGTGAAAAGGCCCCAGAGGCTCAGAATGGAGCCGTTACAAAGCCTACATCACACGCTGTGCAGGAATCACCAGAACCAGAGGAAAAGTGATCTGCCAAGTTTATTTGAAAAATAAATAAATGGTTAAAGGCCTGGCTAGACAGCTTAGCAGATTAAAGTGCCTACTTAGGCAGAGCGCGGCAGCTGGGGCTCGATCCCAGCATGGCATGCCAGCCCCACCTGCAAACACACTGAGATGGCATATGACACTGGGCGTGGTGGCGCGCACCTGTAATCCCAGCACTTCGGAGGCTGAAAACAGGAGTATCACTACAAGTCCGATCTACGTAGTGAGACCCTGTAGACCCTGTACTAAATACTAAGCAAATAAATACATAAATAAATGGTTCAAAGCACTGAAGATGCAAGGAAAATGTGCAGAGATAGAACCACCAGGGGAAGCTTTAGAGGATTCAGAGTATGCAAAGAAGCAACATGAACTAACAGGACTAATTCAGAGTTCTTAAAGTTGCATCCTAGAGAGATCACTTTTTACATATTACTTTAAGTGTCACCTTAACATTTGAAAAACATGTATTAGGACAGAAGGAAATTCTCAGTTGATCCTGAAATACAAACATTTTAAGATTGCAGTTTAGCATGGTAGTGACATGCCTGCAACACCAGCCATCTGGGAAGCTGAGACAGGAAAACCACAAATTCAAGCTCACTCTAAAAAACTGAGGGACTCAGAAGACTGTCTCACCAAAAAAGGGCTGAGGATGTTACCAGTGTGAAGATTTTGGGTTCTATCCAGTGTACAAAGGAAAGAAATCATACAGGTTTTAGGATTTGACATTAATGTATTATACTAGAAATCAAAACTACGAATAAAATACCAGTCACATGGAAATGACACCCCTGTATAGTTATTAGAAACACTTTATGCCTGCAATGGGGGCTGAGACCTATAACCTCCGCATTCTGAAAGGATGAGGCAGGACGATCTCAAGTTCAAGCCCAACCTGACCAATCAGGTAATTTAGAAAGAGTTTGGAACTAGTTTTAAAGGCTGGGAGTAATCAGTTTTCACTGAGTCTGGCTCAGTGTGAAGGTTCTACATTCATCTTCAAGTAGTCACAAGAAAAACAAAGTCCTTTTGTAAGTAAATGACTTTTGTATGTCACAGCACTATTCTATTCACTATTCCTAAACGTTATATACGTGTAATCACCTAGATTCAATCAGTACACAATTAATTCTCAGCCATCAACACATCAATTAATTTACAAGTATGTACAATTCTTAGGCTTTTGTGGATCAGTTAAAAATGCATTTGATTTTTTTCAAAACCTAGAAAAAGGAGGATATGACTCTACCCACAGCAATGAAAGAATAAGAAAATAACAGAGAAGTACTTCTTAAAAGAGTTAAGTAATTTTTAAAATATTACTTCTTACACAAAATTGGATAAATATACAGATACTTTCTCTTAGTTAAATGAGAAGAAAGATTTGTACTAATAGTGTTTGGACAGGATATCATGTCTGCATCTTGTACTATGTATAACTACTACGAAGACAATATACAGTGCATTAATTATTGAAACTGTCCTACTAACCTGCTTTCAAACTGTCTCATTGCTATTTCTTTCCCATTAAAATTAATAAAAATTAAAACAAAAATAAAGTCCAGAACAAGAAAAAAATACTTTTGCTAATATTCAACAACTTCATTGCTAATGACACTGCGTCATAATAGAAAAAGTTGAAGGCCTACAACATCATTTTATGAAGCTTAAAGGTCACTGAAAAAGAAATCAAAAATTGAGCAAATGCCACTGAACTGCAAGCTTAAAACATGTTTCAGATGGTAAATTTTGTATGCATTTTACCACAAGAGAAATATAATAGAAGACAGGAATATACCTCTGCGGAACAAGTGTTTGCCTGGCAAGCTGTAAGGCCCTGAGTTTGATTCCCAGTAAAAAATAAATTAATTAATTAAATATAAATAAATAAACAAATTTTTTAAAAAAACAAAAGAAAAATGTAAGAAAGGAAAGTGATTAGGCAAGTGAGGGGACCCAGATTCAATCCCTGGCACCACATGCCATGCTGGCCCCATCCCCGGGGCACGCTGAGTTGGCCCCAAAACTTGGCATGGTGGCACATGCCTGTAATCCCAGTACCGGCTCTGGGCAGCATGAAAACAGGAGGATCACTAGGAGTCTGAGCTGCGTTGTGAGACCGTGTACCAAAGACATTTAAAAAGAAAAAGGGAAAGGAAAGTGAAGCCAGTTTTACTTAAGATTGTGGCACTGCTGTGACTACTGGTAGCTGACTTCCATCAAGTTTACACGAATGATCTCACCAAATCCCAGCACGAACCGGAAGCCCACTGATAGAAGCACGGACAGTTTCTAAGCAAAGTGCCAAATCTCAAACCAAAATGCGCCCTTGGGACTGCACGAAAATGCTGCCCATCCTCAGACATTCCTTTTCACAGGCTGAAAGCATACACCACATTTCTTCCTTCTGCTGTAGTTATTAAAATAAGTTTTTGACGACATACAAAAAACAAATTATCAGTACAGATCCCCGGGCAGCCCGACCTAGTGCTGCGGCGGCCCGGGCCTGTGTGCGACCGCAGCGCGTGACCAGCTTCTGAGCACACAGGTCCCCTGGGCCCTGGGGCGCGGGTACCCTACCTGGGTCCCCAGCAGCTGCCAGAGGATCAGAAAGAGCCTCCCCTACAGGGCTCCTCAGGGAGCGCGCAGCCTAGGAGACCCCAAGAACCACCCGAAGGTCCTTCCGCTCTGGGCATCTGCCTCAGCGCCCACGCAGTGAGCAGGGAGGGGCAGAGAGCTGTCGCCACCGAAAGGGCTCCGGGTCCTGCTGGTCACGTGGAGACCAAAAGGAGAGCCCTACAGGCCAGTGCAGAGCTCCGCGCAGGGGCACCAGGGGCCAGCGGCCCGCCTGGGAGTGCTTGCTCGTGCCCCTGCCCACCTTGAGACTGGTTCTAGGACCTTTCAAATCTTTATTTTCTTTTATTTTGAAGAGTAAAAACAAATAGCAGAAACAAGCAGGAAGGGGCTGGGGAGATGGCTCAGTGGAATAAGCGCTTCCCTGGCAAGCGCAAGGGCCTGAGTTCAATCCCCGGTTCTGCAAAAAAAAAAAAAGAAAGAAAGAAAGAAAGAAAGAAGAAAGAAAGAAAGAAAGAAAGAAAGAAAGAAAGAAAGAAAGAAAGAAAGAAAGAAAGAAAGAAAGAAAGAAGCAGGAACAGGGAAATTACCTATTTTCATCATCAAATCTGTCAGATTAACGTGACAGTTATGCAAGATTGGACAAATAATTGAATATTAATGCTTGCTTTCAATAAACCTAATTTTACTTGTCTTTCTTTTGCTTTTTTGAAAATTGATTTTGCCTTTCCTGTGAGGCCCAAATGCGCGAGGCAAGAAGTGAGGGCGCTGGGCTTCTGGTTTTCATTGCATAGACAGCTCTACCGCCAAGACGGTTGATGTACCTAAAACCGGAAGGACTATCTGTAAGAAGTGTGACAAGCATCAGCCTCACAGTGACCCAGCATAACAAGGGCAGGATTCCCCGCACGCCCAAGAAAAGAGGCACTACGACTGGAAGCAGAGAGGCTGCGGCCGGCGGCCGAAACCCATCCTCCGGAAGAAGGCTAAAATGACAAGGAAGAGAGTGCTGAGGCTTGAGCGTGTGGAGCCCAACTGCAGAGCGAAGAGAAGGCTGGCTGCTAAGAGATGCAAGCGCTCTGAACTGGGAGGAGACCAGGAGAGAAGGGGCCAGGCGATCCAGTTCTGACCTCGTGCGTAGCTTTAAGGCTAAATGTTGAAGCTATAGGAAGACTAGCTGTAGGAAAATAAATGCAGTAGTAACCACAAAAATAAATAAAATAAAATAAATTTGATTTTAAAGAGAGGATAATAAGGCCCGGTGAGATAGCTCAGCAGTCTACATTGCCTGTGTAGGCAAGCAGGGTCCTCCTTTGTCTCTGGCCTTGCGGCATTCTATTTGTCCCCTCACTGAGTAGCAAGGCAGCAAAGAATAATTACAGCTGCAAAGTTGAGCTCCAAAAGGAGCCAGATCTCAGTGACTTTTGTGTCAAGGAGTTCCAAAATCCTTTTCTCCTCTTTACTTCTCCTATACTGGGATCACACCCCAAGCAATCGCACTCCATAGCCCAGCCTCGCCTCACTTCCTAAAGGAAACACCAGGAAAATTGCCTCTTTTCTGAGTTAGTATCTTTGGAAGATCCCCAGCCTGTCCACACCACCGCAAAGCACAAAACCTCATGTCACATAAGCAGCAGGAAGAGGCCGACCTACCTCAGCTATCTGGGCGGCCGTGCTGCCCTTGGCCCCCAGCAGGACCATGCCCAAGGCCGAGGAGATGCTCACGGGAGAGAAGAAGACATTGCGTGCTGGGTCCTCCTGACCCAGAAGCTTTAAAAGGCGGATGGCAAAGGCTCCATTGGCTTCCGACAGCGGGTTCATGATGCAGTCTAGAGGCAAAGAGGAAGGGCCACGTCAGGCAACTCACCTGAGTGTGCACTGCCAAGTGTCCACTGCATGGAAACTGCTTTTGGTTTTCATTGCAAAGCTGCGGGATATTTCAAGCATTCCAACAAAAAGTCCATTTCCTTGCTCTCTCCTTCCAAAATTATACCCAGATTTCAGGACAGTTAACGAAGTGTGAAGGTGGCAGCAGCCCAGAGCAGTCTAAGAGCCTCAGGGAAGCCCAGAGAGCTCGCTCCTCTGCACAGGTGGACAGACAGACACACAGACAGACGCATGTGACAACGTACAGGGCACGGCGGGGCCAGGTGAACTCTAGCTCTTTCCCATTAGGACAGCTGCTCTCTCCTGAGGAGCAGGCCAGAGTTAGAGATGAAGAGGACAAGAAGGACGAGGAGGAGGTGGGACAGAGGGAAAGCAGAGTGCAGCACGGAGCTCTGCCTGGCCTCAAGCGCTCTCCCTGTGCTGTTCTCGCTTCTCTTATGGAGCATCCCCGTGCCAAGCGCAGCCGGCCACCAGACCACGAAGGAGCAAGGCAGGAGCTGTGGCCTGAGGCAGGCTGATGGCAGCTCTGCTGGGAGGCCAGAGCTTCTGCTGCAGGGCAGCTCAGGGCCAGGCCAGCTGGGGGCGCCAGGCTGCTGTTTCTCCTGCCCTGCAGCCTGTGTCCCTGAGGGGGTCCCAGGCCCAGCTGACCTCTCGGCACAGCCTGAGTCCAGTTCACTTCCTCCCCATCCCACCCTGCTCCGGAAATCGGAAATCGTATGACCAGCACCCTGACTGCAGGAAGAAAACACTCTCGCTCTCCTATGGCTGCACTCTCTTTGGTCAAAAAACTGAGGCCTTCGTAAGAAACTGGGGGTGCTCTCTACCCACATTCCAGCTCACCCATGGACCTCATCTTCCCCACCCATCCTAAGACTCCTCCTCTACCTCTGCCCCAATCTCTCTCCATCTCCTCCTTGAGACCCAAGGCCCAGCCTGCACCACCCTGGCTCCTCTTCAGACTCCTGCTGTCCCTGCCACTGTGGTCCCAGTTACCTGTCTGTTCTCACTGCCATGCAGATCAACACAGCTCCCAGCACAGCACTGCCCTCCTTCAGTGCTGACCTCGCACCCTTCCCTATTGCTCCCCCGCCCCACCCTTTCGGCCTCCTCAAAGTGGCCTCTGAGTCTGCGGACGCTGCCCACCCCCAACGCCCCTGTGTACTGGTACCGCTGCCCCTCCTCACCCCACGTTTTAGGGCAGCCCAGATTGCCTCCCTCCCTCTTGGCAAAGTAGCCCTCCCTGCTGCATTCAGCCCCTGTCAGGGACCCCGCCCGCCTGCAAGAGGTGGGGACAAGGATCCAGTCCCACAGGGGACACAGGCTCAGGAAGAAGAAGGCTTCCCTCTGCTGCAGCTGAGAGGCAGGAAAGAAGGGATGGGAAGGGGCGCTGAGTGTGGACACAGACTGAGATACGACCAGGACCCAGAGGAACCAGGGTGAGGCTGCTGCAGAGAAGAAGGGGGAAGGCAGGGATCAAGACAGCTCTGAGGAGCAATGCCACCTGAGCACCTCAGCGCCGGAGCTGCAGCTAAGGTGCCACCTGGCTCTGTCCAGGTCTCTCTGCACATGCGCAGTCCCCAGCAACAAAAACTGGCCTGTCCTCACCCAGCCTTCCACATTCTAGCCTTACCTTCCAGCAGCCAGCAGCCCACTGGAGCCTGGACCCCACCTGATCGAATGATCCCAGGACCAGGAAGTCGGCTTGGGGCTGACCAGGATGCAGGGGCTTTTGTGAACATGGTAGCTCTGTGGTTTCCTGCAATGAGGGTGGGGGCTTTCCTGGCCTGGCCTCTTTTCCCAGCCTCCTGGCCAGGAAGCATACCCCTGTGCCACAGGGACACTTCAGGGACTGAGGAGGGGCGGAAGTTCTTCCTGAAACACCCACCTCCAAACTGTACTCTGGAAAAAATTAACTTTCAAAAGTGAAACTGACAGCAGATCACAAGGAAGCCAGACAAACACCAGGGGTGTGCCTAGTGCCCCAGCTCTGGGGCAAGCTGAGGCAGGAGGTGGAGCCTTCTGGCCCAGCTACAGCAACTTAAAAAGAGCCTGTCTCATTGGTTTTTTTCAACGGTGATGAGGATACAGGAAGGTCCTGGGTTCCAGCCCCACTACTTCTCCTACCAAAAAAGGAAAGAACAAGAATCGGAGGACCAAAGCCAACTAGGACCCTGGCTTTCCTAACTGCAGGAAGCCGAAGGAGAATGAGAAGCTCTGACTTCGCTGGGCTGGTCGGTCCCCATTCAAGTAAACCTGGCAGATGAAGTGAAAGTATTTGCCCAGCACGGCCCACACACACTGTGGTCAGTTCAAGACCAGAACCCGGGACCAGGCAGAGAGCTCAGTAGAATAAGCACTTGCCTGGCAAGAGCAAGGGCCTGAGTTCAATCCCCAGTTCTGCCAAAAAGCAAAAAAATCAAAGACTACCACCCACACAGAGCCCAGGCCCTAGCTCCTCGGAGCCCAGCCCTCTTCTTACCCACGCAGCTTCTCTGTGTGCATGCTGCTCCTCCTGCTTCAGGCAGACACTGAGAGGAACCAGCTCAGGACAGTGACCTTGTGCTCTGTGAGGAGGGACCATGGCCAGAGCAAGTTCACTGAGGAACCAGAGACCTGCAAGGTAGCCACCCTGTCTGCACCTTTGCACTCTCAGGCAGAGGCCAGTGGATCTGTCTGTAACAATGGCCAGACCAGCACAGGCTGTTGGCAGCTTTGTGGTCAGCAGGGAGCTTCGTCCAGGGCTTCTCTGTCCTATTACAAATTTCTCAGATGCTGCGGCCTCCTAAAGCACAACGGGGGGTGAGGCCTGCTGGGGTCTTCCAACTCTCTTGGGCACCAGCCCTGTTCTGGAATGACCCCACACCCCAAGAATAAGGGATACTTATATTTTCCCCAATTAGCAATAAGGTTTGGGGCTTCTGCAAGGGGAACAATATAATACAGGACAGTGGCTGGGGAGATAGCTCAGTAGAATAAGCATGTGCCTGGCAAGCACAAGGGCCTGACTTCAATCCCCAGTTCAGCCAAAAAAAAAAAGTATATATATATATATATATATATATATATATATATATATATATCAGGACACATTTTATAATATTATTTTATAATCAGTCACCCAAAGAATCATATACAAGAAGTACAGAAAACCTGTCCACACACTAAAATCCAAAGAATCCAGCTGAGGGCCTACATCCTAATATCCTGCATGAGTCAAGCTAAAATCCTAAAGCTCATAGCAGTGTCTCCCACAAGTCCCGCAGGAGGCCTAGAGCCCACAACAAAGTCTCATGCAGGCTGGACTCACCGATCTGCGCTAGAAAGGCCCAAAGATCAGCGGTGGAAGTTAGAAAGTCTGTGCCAGCAGGATGAAGGATCTGTGCTAGCAGGCTGAGGGGTCTGCGCTGGAGTCAGGAAGCGATGCTCAAGCTTCGCAAGCACCGGAGCTCTCCCAAAGGCATTCTGAGGTTAGCCACATCCATGCTCAGCAACAGTGAGGTCCCGAGCTCTTCCAGCGATGACGAAAGCTGAGTTCCCATCAGGAAAGCCAACATGACAAGCTTCTCTACGAGGCTGAACAGTGTACCATTTTCCTGTCTGCAGCCCAGGAAGTGATGCTCAAGATGAGGCCCAGAGCTGCCAAGTGAACCGGAGCCATCCTCACTGACAACAAAGTTCCCAAGCTCCTCCTCTGAGAAGAAAAGCCAAGGTCATGAGGAAATCCATCATGACAGGGTCACAGCTCAGGAGAAACAGTGGCTTCCAACAGCTCCAACAGCTTCTCCAAACAGCATCACTAACAGCATCTTGACAATATCTCTAGTTCTGTCATGATGCTGCTGGCAACAACCATCAACTGGGCCTCCAACCCTCAGCTGGGTGTAATAAGTCAACCACCAGTTAGTAATACACTACATGGGGCTGGGGAGACAGCTCAATAGAATAAGCACGTACCTAGCAAGAACAAGGTCCTGAGTTCAATCCCCAATACCAAAAAAAAAAAAAAAAAAAAAAATCCACTATGCAAACTTTACTAAATAGAACATACACAACATAATCCTAATAAGAGAAGAATCCTAAAATTGCAAACTTAGGTCACTGGCAAGAAGGGTGGAAGGAAAAGATTAGAGTTCATATGAACTGACAGCTTCCAACTAAGCAAAAAAGGGGAAAACCAACTTTTCTGCCTCAGTTTCCCCATACTGAAGGCTGACTATTGGGGCCACATTTCCTTGTGTGCTAGGTCTCAGACAGGCCCCCAGGTAATATCTTATGTTGAGACAACTCAGAGGCCTCTGTATTCCTGATACCTGGTCCCCTGCCTCATCCTTTTTCTCTTGTTAGTGACTCCATAGCACAGCCAGGTAAAGAGTAGAAAGCCAGGACTCTTTGGGCTCGCTCTTCTGTTGAAGATTGCAGAGCAACATCTGGAGCCATTCTCCTAGAAGTCAGAGCTGTGACGTAGTACCAAGGAGCACATGGCAAGAACGGGGAACTTGAAAGAAACCTAGCAACACTGGCTTTGATGACAGTTCCTTTCTGAAAACCCAGTAACCTATGGGTTATGTTGGGCTTAGTGTCTCTGTTCCTGAGAGCAGAGCTCAAAAAGTCTGTGAAAGAGCCCGCCCAGTCTTTCTTAATATCCTGCTATGGGAATTGCATTTCAGCTTGAGTTTCAGAGGGTGGAAGTCTAATGGTCCATGGGGACAACTCAAAGTTCTGCTAGCAAATGAGACAGTAGAGAGTGAGAGATCTCCTTTCATTAAATTATTCAGTCATTGTTTTACCTTTTTCTTCTTGGAATATTTGACAACGAACCCCTAAGAGAAGCCAGGGAGGCTGGCAGCTCTAACATTAGCGCCTAGTGAGGAGGTGGGCAGGACTAAACCTGCCCTCAGCCAGGGTTGATGCTTGAGCGCTCAGGAGCCAGGGTCGCCATGCTGGAAGCCCTTGTACCATGGCAATCTTCAGCACAGGAACTGTAGGCTTCAGTGGAGAGCAGGTTGGCCAGGAATCCTGTTTTGCAATTTTGTTTTTCCCCGCCTTGAGAAGCTTCATAAAGAAGCACACTCATGGATCTCTATTTTTGGTTTGCTATTGCTTTATGCTTTATTTTTTGAGAGACTTTATGTAGCTCAGGATGGACTTGGATTCCTGAGGCCTAGGTGGGGGACAAATTGGTGGTCAACATCCTGCCTGAGTTTCCTGAGTGCTGAGATTATTACAGGGCAGCGTCACCTCAGCCAGCTAGTGCTTATGATACAAAATTATGTCCCCACGTGCAAAGGAAAATGAAATAACATTCTTAGAGTAAAAGCTGTTATTGTAAATTATACACTGAGGGCAGCTTTCTTCACTAGTTGCCCACTCAGATTGGTTTTTTGGCTTTTTGTTCTTGAAGAGGAGGAGAAGGAAGGGTCCCGTGCAGGAACAGCCACTCCTACGGCTGGCATCAAGCACAGTTTACTTGTTTACACAGAACAGGGTCTCACAGGCTGCCAGGTATCTGTGCTGATGCTGAACAAGGTGAACGAATATAAACTGGCCAGGCATGTCACGGGTGCTCCAGCCACTGGGAAGGCTGAGACAAGAGGGTGGCTTGAGCTCACAAGGTGAGGACCAGCCTGGGCCAAATCAGGAGGCTCTGACTCAAAAAAAATTAATATGCTGGGGCCAGGGAGATAGCTCAGCAGTATAAGGTCCTACCTGGCAAGAAAAAAGGTCATGAGTTCAATCCACAGTGCCACAAAGAAATGACGATGATGACAATGACAATGATGATGAGGATGATGATGATGATGATGATGAGGAGGAGGAGGAGGAGGAGGAGGAGGAGGAGGAGGATATGCTGCCTGAGTCTGTGCTCCAAATTCTAGCAGAAACTTCACTTCAGTCCAAACAAAATGACCAGGGATCCAGATGGATTTGTTCAAAAATGAAAAACATGGTTACAAAAATTGTGGTTTGAAAAAGAAATCTCCTTTTTCCCCCACTAAAGATGTCTAGGGGACATAACTCCATTCCGGAACAGAGTAGGAATCCAGAGATCTTGAAATCAATTGTTTATCATTCCCATTCAGAAATCTCCCCTGCCTTGTCACCTCTAGGAAGTCCTCGTGCATGTAAACCATGCTTCCCTCCCAGATGGAATGTAACAAGGCCTCAGGTTGGTAATGGGGGTGGGGGGGGACTTCTTAGCACAGCTGAGCGGAAAGGACTGAGAGCCTAGTACTGGCTCCAACTAGTTTTCCAAAATTACACAATCAGAGTCAAAAGTTCAAGAGAAAGAACAGAGCCAAGTCACTGCCTTGACAATATTTTCAAATCCCTGACAGGCATCCAGGAGCAATCACACAGTGCCAGTGTGGAGGCCACACCCTGGCCACTGTTTTCTGTGACGCTGCCCTCAGGGCTTCTGGATTGTTCTATGTCTTTGGCAAAGGACAGCTTGCCCGGCTCTGCCTGAACAGCACTGAGCTGGCCAGATTCGACAGGGCATGCACATCTTTCCCAACACTCTCCTGCTCCCGACAGGATGTAACTGTCCTGTAATCACTGCACACCACGCTGCATAGCAAGATTCACTTATTCAGGTGACACAGAAACACCCAAACATTTCCCGCATTTGGCACTACCTTAAGAATTTGTCACTGTCTCAATCTAGCAGGCGGTCCTGCGTCAATGATGATGCAAATGAAAACTGTGAAGCAGCACAAATTTGCAGGCAAAAACATTCTCTGAAAAATTTATTACAGAACAGAAACAAAGTCAGCTGCCCCAAGACAACCCCAGCCTCAGCACTGTCTCAATGTGCAGGGCCCCA